ATATATAAAATATGTCTCTCTTTCTCTGTATATTTACATATATGCACGCACACACACAAATATATCACAAACACATATTGGGAAGATGAGGAGAAAATTCCCAGCAGGCAGGCAAGGACTTCCAAGGGGAAAAATCAAGTAGTCTACACAGAGACACTTCACCTATTTCAGTCTGCACCAGTACCTGACACATGTTTTTCCTGTTCTTCCTGAGAAAAGCAGAACTAATCCTGTTGCTTTCATGCTGAGCAATATGTCAGAAGGACACAGTGTCATTTCTTAGGTCAGCTGCAGGAAAGGTGTACGGGTTGATTTCTTGGAGGTGACTGAGTGGAGGATGTGTGCGTACAGCCACGGGTGGAAGGCACTGACTGAGCGCTGACACAAACGGCAAATGCCTAAGTGTAGAAAGATGGGTATGTGTCTTTCTGCTCATGCACTATCTATGCCAGAGAAGAACCTGCACAGAAGTGTGTGGAACAGAGACATGTACGTCCACAGCTGCTAGAGACAGGTACACCGTGAGTCTAGCACCGTGTAACGTTTCTTTGGGGAAGAGACAGATGGGAACACTGAGAGCACTGTTTCTCACTGCATATGATTCACTTGATGTAAAGAGGTGGCTCTTAAATTTTTCAGTATTGATCTGACAGTAGGAGACATTTTCCCAGCTCTTAAAAATGACTATCAAAGTTTATCATAAAGGAGGATAAGGGAAAAAGAAAAGGTTCCAGAAATTTCTGATCTGACATATTTTTAAGTTAATAATTGAAAAAATGAAAAATCCACACAGGAAATCAAAGTCATAAGCATGTCCAAACAGGCGAATGCACTATAGTACGAAGCGCTGCTACATGAGTAGCAATCCCATCCAAGGTGTCTCTTGGGACACCGCAGAAAAATGGGAAAATTCTTCATTGAGATTATCCTACTTTACCTTTGCAGTGTGTGCTGGTTTTGGCTGGGGTAGAGTTAATTTTCTTCACAGTGGCTAGTATGAGGCTGTGTTTTGGATTTGTGCTGAAAACAGTGTTGATAATACAGGGATGTTTTAGTTACGGCTGAGCAGTTCTTACACAGAGTCAAGGCCTTTTCTGCTTCTCACCCCACCCCTGGCTGGGGGGGGCCAAGAAGCTGGGAGGG